CCAAGAAACCAACTTGACTAAGGACACTTAGCTGCTAAGTAGTTGAGCCATGATGGCCCCAAAGACAGAGACATGGTGAAAATTTACCACAATTTGGAAAACAAAGACTGAGTAAAAACAGAAAGAAACGTAACTCATCGTGACTCACCTCCAGCCGTTTTCCTCACAAAATAGGCAAGGAGCTGCATATAGCCCGGATTCAGTCCCGCAGGCAAGCCCCAGTCTCCCCCCCCCCATCAAGTGCTGGTCTGTGAGTTGAGCATAGACAGCTGTTCCTCCGGCTTCTGCCAGCTCCACCTCAAGCGAGTCTCCGAAAGCCACTCATTCCTTCCTTCCACCACTGATGGCCCATCTGCCGCATGGCCACTCACCGAGGGGCCTTGGATACAGTCGTGAGAAACAGACACTCCGCCTTGCATTTATAGTCTAGTGGGGGAGGTGGGGAAGCCGGGAGATTGTTCATCACCAGGCAAGTAAAACTGCAGGCTGCACACCGGGTGCGAGAGCAGACAAATCCAGCAGGAACAGTGGGATGCTGGTTTGAAGTTAGAGAAGGCAAATTCCAGAAATGAGTGGAAGCTGCGGGCTGGTGACCTGGAAGCATCTTCTGGCTGGTACAGCCCCAGGAACAAGCATTGTACCAGCAGCCGGATAAGAGTGGTGTAAAAGCCATTTTTTCTCAAATTGGTTCATTCTGGATTCTGGGCTAATGGACCCTGTTCCTCTGACCACAGAGCCTCATATAACCCAGATGGGGTTATTCCTTCAAAAAGCATTTACTGAGCACCTACTCTGTGCCAAGGGTTGTTCTAGATCCTGGGGATAAAGTGATGCAAAGATGAAATCCTTGCTTTCATGGGGTCATATTCTATGGGGGAGACAGGTAATAAATAGGTGATGAGATAAACATATGGGTGGACATAGGATATCTAATAGTATAACCACAGTGAAGTTAGGAGGGGAGCAGACTCCAGGCAGAAGGAAGAAGAGGCAGGGATGCCCCAAGGGGGGGTACTTCTGGGGAAGAGCGGGGAGACCTGTGGGCAGGAGAGCAGTGGTGGGGGCAAGACAGCAGTTGCAGGATCCAAGTGGGGACCTGGCCAGGGAGTGGGGGCCCCACGGGCCTCCATAAGGACTGCACTGTATTTGTGGTGTGAAGGGAAGCCCTTGGAGGGTGGAGAACGGGGGAATGTCATGGTCTGCCTGGTACCTTAGCAGGAACACACTGGCTGCTGTGTGAAAACCAGACAGAGGTAGGGGCATAAGTTGGAGAGAGATAGATTAGGAGGCTTTCAGGCATGTGTATGGGAGAGCGGTGGTTAACCCAAGCCAGTGGCAGTGGAGGAGGTGAGTGGTGCCCAGATGGGGGTACATTTTCAGAGGCTTAGCCTGATGGCCTCGGCAATGAATCACGGAGTGAGCAGGACCTAGCCTGGGCCAATCAGAATGCAAGTTTTTTTTTTTGGGGTGGGTCACTGGCAAAAAAAGAAAAGGGGACATGGCCAATAGAACAGGACTCACATCAGTGAATGGCACCACCTGTCTCCCAAGCCCAGACCCTGGAATATCCCAGGATCCTCTTCTGTCAATCACCCTGCCCTGGCCTGTGGATTTTCCTCTGCCCCTNGGTGGGGGGAATGCCATCAACTACCTTGTCCCTTAGATGGTCTGTGATGTGCACGATGGAGTCCATCAACTGAGTGACGAAACCTGAATGAGGAAGTGAGTGGCGGAGGTTCTCTGATCCAGAACATCTCTTTCCATCTTGTATTTGATGAGGAAACTGTGGCCAAAAGACGCTGGAAATTATAATCTGTCCAGTATGAGGACAATTATATGTGGATTTCCAACAAAGCAGCAAGTATATTGTTCCTGCTTAACTTCTACTCTAGGTGGATATACACTCACTTAAAGTTTGACAGGTGATGGGTGAAGACCAAAGGCAGCATGCCAAGTGTCCAAGCTGATTGCTGGGCCATTTGTTTTTCACTTGCTTCTTTATTAGTTGCTTGGTTGGTTGGCGCTATTGATCCTACCAGGCAGGTAAAGAAAATGTGCCACTAACAGAAGAGGAACTTTGTGGGTGATCACTAGCTGGCCCGATTCCAGAAACAACCAGTGCAACATCCCGACCCAGTTCTTCATCCAAGTCAGGTGGTGTTCTGTTGGACTTAGGGAATGTCATTAGAAGGGTCAAGCGGGCATTTTCCAAAGACCTGCCTCCCCTGAGTTCCTCCAGTTGTCAGTTACAAGTGTCCCATCACTTGGACTGTGTCAAGAAGGGGGTGGGATGGGAGGGAGGTGAGTATCAGAGGACGAGGACCCTCGCTCAGCTGAACTCAGAGGAGTGTCTCCCATGACAGACTCGGCAGGCAGAAAAGTTTGCTCGGTTCCTGGCACTGCTACCAGGTAGAGAGGTGCTGAGTCCCAGCTGTTTTTGAAGCAAAGCAAACAGGAAGTGAGGATGGTGGGCAGGATGGGCTGTAAGGAATAAGCTATCAGCAGGAAATTCAACCCTGTACATAGTCAGAGCAAAGACAGCTGCCAAGTTTTGCTTTTGTCCCCCAGTGTTAGGGTATGGTGTACTCAAAGCATATTTAAAGTGCCATGAAGCAGGTGTTCCCATTGGGCAAGATGGACCCCATTTTTGTTTGAAAAAAACTGACTCTAGGAATAGGCAATGGCATTTCCATCACAAAGACAGACACTGTGGCGAAATTTGGTTTTATCCTCAACTGATACAGTGGTTTTCCTCACTATAAAGGAAGCTGGTACAATTTTTCCAGCACCAGAGGAATACTAAGAATCATGTTTTTAAAAAAGCGAATTAAGGGATTAGACATGTCCCTTTGCCTTTTCATTAACTGGCCGTATTATAGAATAACCAAACAAGTGAAGTCCTGTTTCAAATCTCAAGCCCCTTCTCCTCCCTGTGTGGCCCCTACCCCTCCAGGCCTAGTTCTGTGCTATAGCCCAGAGGTCCAAAGGACCGAGTGCAAACTCTGGAGATTAGGTCCAGACAGCATTCCCCAGACTGCTGATTCCAAGTGAGGGCTGGGCGGTGTGACACAGGGAAAAGGGTTCTGGCGTAGCAAGGTTGGGAAACACCAGGGTAAGCAAACTCAGATTTTGTATTTTCAACCCTGAGTCCTTCTGAGGCCTTACTGTGTCCCTGTGCCTCGTGACTCCCCACAAGAGCTGTAGTAGGCAGTATCTCCCTCAGACACTTAATAAAAGAGCCCTTGGAAGACACATGCTTCACCCCCCTGGGGAATCCTGATGAAACGGTCAAGTTCAGAGCCTCTAGGTGGGTGTGGAACTTATCCCAGGATGACCCAGGAACGTCCTCGCTGGGGCTACTGGGGTCACAGGAGTGGAACCCCACGTGCCCACCTGGGACATACAGGTTTGGAAAGGCACAGGGTGCCCTCAGAGAGGTGTGACGAGCAGCGAGAAGTCAGTGAGGTGGCTTCACATTGAAGCTCCTTGGAGAGAAAATTAGAGTGTATGTCGGGTCTGAGTGTTGAGAAGCTCCGACTCCATCTGTTGGGTGGACAGCGCGCCATTGGTATTTCCCGAGCAGAAGAAGGACAGGTCAGGGTCCCCACGGGAGATTTCTTTGGCGATGCTTTTTAAGGAAGAAGGGAGGCCAGATGATTCAGAGCAGAAGGTAGGGTGGGGGTGGGCGGGTCATGATCCTTTGCTTATTATTCTTTTGGGTGTACAGGTATCAAAAATCCGGGGTGCTCACTCCCACCACCTGCAAACAGAACTATCGATATGCCTGCCCTCCAATCCTCTGCTAGCTCAAGACAGTGAGTCAAGTGTTATAAATTCTACCAGGAACTGTGCAAATGCAGCAGATGATTAAATAAAATTACATCACACACACTCCTGTTCTTACATACTTGTTTATTGCAGCAGGAAAAGGGAACCGAAGCATTTTACAAATTTCAGGGCTGCAACAGTTGTCGATGCTCTTTCCAGACATTCCTGTGCCATGTTCCCCACAGTAAATAACCTGGATACGGCTAAGAGGTAATATTTCAGATAAGTGGAAACAGGGATCAGACGCTATCTGGAATCGCTTTAGAAATTTTTGAGAGAACAGGCATATTGCAATGACTGCTTAAATGTTGTTTAAACTCCCCAAATGAATTCCTACAGGGCAGCCATGCCCCTGGAGACTGAGTAATTAAGACATCCTGTTAAGCTTCAAGACCTTCAGGCAAATGGGACTCAACAGAGGACAAGGGGGCGGACATGAAGGACAGATGGAACCACAGGTGACCGAGGCCACACCTGGCTATAGTGAAACTCACAGCTCCCTGAACCGGAAGCAGCCCCACCAGGAGTCCAACTCGGGCTTCTGACTCTTAGAGCCATTGAATGTGTGGAGGGGAATTTCTGAATTCAGAAGATGCCAGGATGGAAATGGGTTCCTCACTACAGAACAAGCACATGAGCTATGTGAGCTGGTGGCACAGCTCACCTTTTCCCTCTGGCCCTGAGCAAGCCACGTAGGAATGAGGAGGAGACATCTGCACAGAGACTAAAGAGTACAGTGACAGACAGACCCGAGTGGGAGGGATTTCTGGTATTAAGTCTAGTGCTGCCCTCCCAGAAAGAAACACTTCAGACAACTCCTGTATTTTAAAGTGAACTGTAAAGATGCCTTTGACTCCTTGCAGTTTTTGAAATGCTGACATGTAATGGAGGTGGGGCAGGGCTGGCAGTTCAGTCTGAGATCCCCTAGGCAACCGTTTGGAATTCTTCCTCCGAAAGGCATGTAACAGCCCATCCTTTGGATTCTATTATTGCATGAGGGAATATGCGGTGGTGAATGTGTGGGGTAGAGAAAGCTGGAACTGGCCCCCCAGCTGACTCACAGGGAAGGGTGCTGCAGCTAGCGGTGTGCAGGTGTGCATGTTCTCTGACATGGTCCTCAAGTAACCTGAGGCCACAGAACTACAGATATTAGAGGACCAGTGCTCACCTTGTCTCGTCCACAATTACCACTCTGGCTGGCAGGTGAGGGGTGTGTGGTGGGGTGCAGAAAAGTTAGAGGTGCGCAGTGTATCTACACGAGGAAGAAGAAAAACAATGGGGGTGGGGTTGGAGGAAGAGATATATAAAGACCCCCAAAGAGAGAAATAGTCTTTGTATTAATCTGAGCTAACGCATTCTTATTTGGGGAGCATTTTGTATATCATTTAAAAAGCTGTCGAGTGATCATTGAGCACCAAATCATTTTACAATCTTGTGCTAAACCCAGCGATTTCTCTTCTGGCGCTCCAGAATTACCACAATATTCTTCCCCTAAGCGAAGGGAAACCGTTGTGTCTCCTTGAATGTTTTTGTTTTGTCCCCACACGCCAATGTGATTTCAACTCTGAGGTTCTCCCTTGTCGCTTTCCCCACCTGGTGGCTGTTTACAGGTGAGCATGAGAAGCAGGAGCAAGGGTAAATGCCAGAGGCTGCAGAAGAACAGCTTCCGGGAACTCTTCCGGTCGGCATCTGCGTAGAACCGGAAGCCGAGGTAGGAGATATACAAGTTGATGGGCAGGGAGACGGCGGGGAAGGCCCACGTGGTGACGTCCAGTAGGGGGGCTGCCGTGCACAGTCCAATTAGGGCCAGGCAGTGGCGCAGGGCAACCCGCCGGCACAGGGCAGGGTGGGTGACTGACATCATGCAGTAGCCCCCTCGGGAGTAGTCCTCGCGGAGGCCCCAGCTCAGGGCGTTGAAATGAGGGAACTGCCAGGAGTAGAGGATTCCTCCCAAAAGAAATGCTCCTGTGAGTAGGTTTAGGAGAAGAGAGGGAAGCAAAGACACACTGTCATCAGAGATTTTACAAAGGCTTCATCTCTCTCCCCTGAAAGCCTTCCTGGCCCCTGAGGTGCTTTTTCTGGATTTCAGCCAGATCACAGCTTCTCTGCCAGTTTTGTTCTCATGTCTGCCTGCCCAAGTCAGCCCGGCACCCATGGCAGGCAGGGTGGGGAGCTGAAGCTCTCCACAACCTCCCCCCCCCCCCCCCCCCCCCCGATTTCTCAACTCTGTGTGGGGGCGCTCCTGGCATCTGGGCCGGTTTGGGCTTCCCAGGAAGTGCTGTCCCCACTGGAGGCCACTGAGCATCTGTGGCTCCCTCCAACCTGATGTCCCCTTGTGCCCCAACATTGTGACAACAAAAGAAGGCCCTCCTCACTTGCCATGCGTGTCCCTGGAGGCACTGAGCTCATCAGTGTCATGACCCAAGAGCCACACTAGTGAATGGATGTCACCACCCAGGTGCTGGGCAGGGAAAGTATGGCGATGAGGCTACACAGCAGGGGGCTGGCCTGGTTCAGGGGAAGGGACGCCTGAGCTGAGCTCTGAGGGACAAGTGAACTAGAACAGAGAAGGGTTTGCAAAGGCCTTGAGCAGGAAGATGGGTGGTGGTGTCCAAAGATTACTACATGTGGTAGGATTCATGGAGCTGTACAGCAAAAGAATAAAAGGTCAATTTTACTGTACGACAACTAAAAAAACAAAAGATCAAAAAACGAGGCCAGTGTGGCTGGAGTGCAGAGAACAATGTGGAACACGGTTCAGGTTCAGGCTGCAGGGAAGATGGGCAGAGCACAGCATCCCGACTCACAGGCATGGAAGGCTCTTCGTGTGTGTGTGCGCGCGCACGCGCGCGCGCATGTGAATGTGTGCGCGTGATGGTGGTGGGGGGTGTGCTGAGGAAAGGCGCGTGTGTGAAAGAACACACTGGAGGGGCCCATAGCAGGTATGGAAAGATCACTTAGGAGATGTGAAAGTGGTGACAGTGGAGATGGAAGAGGATGAACTTGAGAGGGATCTAGGAGATGTGTGACAGGACGTGCAGGCAGAGTAAATGAGGAGGATGAGGGGAGGGAGTTACCAAGGGCAGCTCCTGGGTTTGGGATCCCTGGCGACGCCATTCACTGAGAGGACGAACAGGGAAGACAGGAAGGCAGCTCCCGAAGGTGGCCTTGAGTGTGTTCAGTCAGACATCCTGAGACATCTGAGGGAAGGTGGCAACCAGCAGCTGGGGGAGGGGTCTGGACTAGGTCGTGTACCTGGGAGCTGTGGATCCCCACATCTACTGCTGACTAAACCACGGTGTCCAATCGTGAATTGTTTCTGCGTTTCCTACTTGAATGGCAATAACTCCTGAAGGGTAGGTTCACTTCCTTTGAAGCTCCAGAAGGTAGAACATGGAGAGCACTCAAGACCATTGTGAAGGGCCCTCAAGCTCGTCAATGGGAACCCATGTGGACAAAGAGCTGCTTTAGTACAAATGACCCCCAGTCACTGTTCTCCAGCACTGATGTGTGACTGGTATGGCGAACTATTAGGACGCTGTCCACTCGCACCCCTTCCTCCCTCCTTTGGGAGCTCTCAGACGCTGACTCTGTTCCTTGTTTTTGACACCAAGCTGCCTCTTGGGGGTCCCTGCTCAGAGAACTGACAGCTTACTAACCACTGTGTAATCTACGCTGGAAGCGGCGTCCTGCACAGAGAGGTTGAGAATCTCTAACCATAGTCCTATTTCAGGTAATGAGGCTCTTTTAAAACCCTTATCCGCAGGAATGTTCAGAAAAAGAGATTGGGGGCTACTGCTAACACAGAACTCACCAGGACAGAAAGCAGTTTAAATAATTCAGAATCACTGAGAAAGTAAATCTGGGGCTCCAAGGTCCCAAAGGGCCCCTGGTGTGCGCATGCCACTGAGCATAAGGAGTGGGCCCCTCTTTCAATCTCTTATTTGTATTCCTCAACAGTGCAGGCTGTAGAGTGACAATAGGGGCCGGCTCTGCAAGTCATCTAAAAGAAAGATGATTTTCATCCTTATTGTTCTGGGCAGAAACTTCCCCATTTCTAAATTAAGTTTATCAGGCAGTTGCAGCATATCAAGTAGAACTGGCTGAGTGCTGAGGCTTAAGAGGGATGGCAATGCACTTCCATTGACAGTTTCCCATGGGTTCTGTAAGTCAATCGATTCTTTCCAGTATGGGCGGAAATGTAATGAAGACATGCTTTTAGGGTTCCTATGTTTAGTAGTAGTGTTGTCAACTCCCCAAATCCATGTTAACCCTATCTATAAATAACACATAGATATATCTTAGTTCATGCAAATGCACTCAATTTTAATAACAGAAGTAGCTACTATTTGTTGAATCCATTCACTTGGTAAATGGACGACAGGTGTCTATCACATGCCAGGTACAGTTATGGAGCTAGAAAGGCAGTGGCGAACAAGAGAAAGCCCTGTCAGTCTAGAAGGACACAGACATAAACACAAGTTACAGTGATGGGCTGTTTACAGAATAAAAATCTGGTGACACGATGGGACTACTTGAGATAGACTGCTTTCTGGGCTTTCCCAAAGGTGACATTTTTAAGCCATGACCTGAGTAACTGGAAGTAGAACTCTGTCAAATCCTGTGAGGTGTCACTCAGGCCTGCGTTTCCATGAGATGGGGCCAGGGTCTGGGTGACACGAGCATTCATGAACCTGGTTTAGGGTGGGATCGTCCCCTAGCACAGCAGGTTACCACAGGAGGGTGGGTAACATAGCAGGGGGCGAGTGAGAAGCAGGTGGGCAAGGGTGCGCTTAGGGTGGCCGACCTGGTGCCTTTCCTCAGGTGTGGAGCAGTGGGGATACACACAGGTGAGTGTGTTCACGGTGGAGGCATGACAAGTTCCATTTTTGGCCATGTGAATGCTGATGAGACATCCCCGCTAGACGCCTATGGCTGTCATGCCCCACGCATGGCTGGAAGAATTACATATTAATTGTATATGCGCCAATGCTCACAGCTGCCCTTCCTGTAGGTGGTGTTACTCTCATCTTATAGAGAAGATTAATTAACTTGCCCCGGGGTATTCAGCACTACTGGCACAGTAAACCAGCCCCGCTATTACAAACTATTGCCATCTATCCACTCAAATTAGTAACAGTGGACTGCTGGGTGGGCATTCAAATGCCAATGGAGCTAAGCCTGACAGGGAGGCTTGTTGGAAGGAAAAGCTGCAGAGGCATTTTCCAGTTTATTAAGGTAAGACTCCTGGTACATTAAAAAAAAAAGAAAAAAAGGTTTGTTTCAATTATAGGCACACCTTGTGTTACTGTGCTTCGCAGGTATTGCACGTTTTACAAACTGAAGGTCTGTGGCAACCCTGCAATGAGCAAGTCTATTGGTGCCGTTTTTCCAACAGGCTCAGATGATGGTTAGCATTTTCTAGCAATAAAGTGGTTTTTTTTAAAGATTTTTTTTTTAATTGGGGAATTGGGGGAATGGGAACAGTGCTGGGGAATTGTGGGAAGGGGAACAGACAAAACTGTCGTTTTGGTCTTCAGTCTAGTTGTGGAGGACGTTGCTTCACTGGCCAAGTTGGCACCATCATTGCACTCTTCCTGGGCGAGGCAGATCAGTCGCCGGCTTCTGGACAGCCGCTCACTGCGGCTGCTGGCCACTCAC